CTGGATTGCTGTGGTAAATAAAAAACAGCTGACCGTGGTAAAGAAAAAAGCTAAAATTTGGTTCTTTCCCGTACTCAGAGCTGGGATGCAAAAAAAGCACAGAAATCTTTCCGTACTAAAATAAATGGGTTACCGTTGAAACACTATATGTACCAACGAACGCCCAAAAATTTTGCTCAGTAAAACACAACTATGGCGATAACGAATTCTGCTGCTTATGACAAGGTACAATTAACATTTTTACAAACAATTTCACCCGAAAATTTGTCATCCGCCCATAGTAAAACCATGGAAACCAAGAATGAAAAGTGAACCGGGTCGGGGAAAATGAGACTTCTGATAAGGCTGATTATTAATTTTTAACCAAAACTAATACAGTATTTCTCAATTTCGATTTAAAAACTTGAGAATATTTAGCATATGGCCATAACAGATCGTATTTTGCCGCTGCCGCCAACGGCGACGATAAAACACGATCTCACTGTTTGAAAACGAAGAAAAAACTTTAACACCTCAATTTAAAAAATGCATTATTTGTAGCATTTTCAGTTTAAATGAAATTTTTTTCAAATTAAATGAAACCATTTTCAAACAAAGCGAAAACTTTTTTAAATTAAGTGAAACCTTTTTCAGGTCAAGCGAAACCATTTTCGATTTAAATGAAACCTTTTTCAGACTCAATGAAACTTTTATTCAAATTAAAAGAAAGGTGTCATTTAATTTGAAAAAGGTTTCGCTTTATCTGAAAAAGGTTTCATTTAATTTGAAAATGGTTTCATTTAACCTGAAAAAGGTTAAATATAATTTGAAAAAGATTCACTTAATTTGAAAATGGTTTCATTTAAACTGAAAATGCTATACTAACCCCCCTATTCTGCAATTCTTTCGTATTCGGATTTTGCTACGAATCGTAGAAATGGCATGTGTTTTCGAACTTTCGAAATTCGTAACAATTGCATGCTTAAAAACTAACGAGTAAGAAATTGACAGATTTTTTGTATAATTTTGTACGGAAGCAATTGTGTGTCGGAAGCGAGATGAAAGATGTAAATCGATGTATGTTTGCAGGAAATATTAGTGGTGTTCTTTTACACCCTTATTCTGCAACTCTTTCGCATTCGGATATCGCTACGAATCGTAGGAATAGTGTGTTGCAATCCGAATCGTATTTTCGAACTTTCGAAATTCGTAACAATGGCATGCCTAAAAACGAACGAGTCAGCTTTTTTGCGTAATTTTGTACGAAAACAATTATGTGTCGGAGGCGAAATAAAAGATGTAAATCGATGTGTGTTTGCAAGAAATATTGGTGGTGTTCATTTATACAGATAAATTTGCCTTTCGCATATACGTATATTTTTATCCACTGCTTCATATAAACAAGCCAAAAATAATCTTTGTTGCCCCTTATCGAGAAACTTGGGTCCGGTTTAGTTATTTGTATAATGATTTTCGGTTGTTGTGCCCAACGCATAGCCCGAATCCAAAACCTTTAACTTACACGTGTAATCAAAGGATTCCCATTTTATTTAAGGTTTGCACTATGCACTTTTTTACAAATTTTGACGTGGGTTCTGCACAAAAATACTGTGGACGGCGTAGCCGGAGTGATATGCACAAGAAATGTTGTATACCTTTGACATGTGGAAGCCCCTATTCCCCGCAACACAGAAAGGTGAATTCTATTTAGTAAGGATTATAATCCCTAAGCGCGGCCGAAGGCAGAGGCAAGCGCAACAGGTGGTAGACCTAACAAAGTGCATGTTTTCAATGGCTTGGAAGAAGCTGTTACTGCCCGTCTCCACAGGATAAAATTTATATCTTGATACATATGTCAGAATATAATTTGCCAATGGAGACCACTCATTGCTCTTCAAGAGCAATATATATCAGAGCTTATATCTTGCCATCTATTGCCGGCAATTTGGTAGTTTGACAGCTACATTTTCATTTGCACGAAAACTTCGTGGCTACAACATCTTTATTATTTTAATATAAAAGCAAATATTGAACTGCTTTCTGTTAAAATATTTGTTGTTATGTAATTGGATGTAAAATAGCCTATTTTCTAAATCTTTTAAGTGATTAAATCCGGCAAAAATACGTTTTAGAAGCTATCTCACAGATGCTTATATCAAGATATAAAAAGCCCACACAAATATTGCCACTGATATAATTTATATCTAACGACCAATAAATTTTATCCTATGGAGACAGCCAGTTATTGCATTAACTGGATTGAGAACTAGAGCTTCAAGCTTAGGAGGAGTTCTGGCTTGTGATTCAACAATTCAACCAGAAGCTGACATAGATGCGCCCATGGTTACTATGCCCGACAGCTCCGCTTACCTTTGTGAATCCATTGCTATAGCGCCCGCTTACTCTGCTACTATAATTGCAAATACATCAGAATGCATAATTTTCCTCAAAATATATAAAATGAACCAATTTTACAATAAACAAGCACATGATGAGTGTTTTTTTAATTCCTTTCCAGTTTGTTTCCATTCATTCAGCTATATTCGAAAAACAACTGATAGCTGGCAATGCTGCACATGTTTCCGCAAGGGTTGCAGCATGTGGAATTTTCGTTTTTCGTAGCGTAGCTACGAATTGCGAATTACGAAAATTCGGGTTTTTTTTTGCCAAAAACTATCGATAGTGGCGACAGTTTTCAACTATCGATAGTATCGCAGCTCTATATTGTGAGTCGCTGCTTTGGCACCACACTTTCTAAAAAACAGCTGATTTGGAAAAACCTACGCTGCCACTGCCACTGCGTTATTGTATTTTGGGCTTTAAAACTTAACAAGAATTTTAGCGAGGGATTGTGGATTTTGGTTAAATAAATCATTTATTTGCAAGAGGTTTTTATTCATTTTGAAGATAAATCTAATATGTAGCAAGTGAAGTAAAACGAAGTAAAATGAAGTGACGAAGTGACGACTTTCAAAGCGAAGTGCAAAACTTCAATTGAAGTGACAGTGGCAGCACTAGCAGGTATCGGTTTTCGTTTTCGTCAAAAATCAATTCCGAGTCGGATCCTGCTTAACCCCACGTCTCCTCTTTCTACCAAATATGTCTTAACATCTGTCAAATATCTGTTTGGACATTGTCCCGTTTTCTCATGTGGGCAACTTGCTGTCTTAACATATCACTTTCAGAATGGCATCCAGCCAATCAGATCGGGCTGTACCCAATGTAAATGGCGCGGTTAAATGAAAACTGAGTTGTCAAACTACGAAATGACAGCTGATGTTAAGACAGCGATGGTAAGAAATTCGGCGAGACAGATATGGTTTAACAGTGGAAATTTACCGTCTCCACTTGACATTTCTGTCTTACCACAGCTTTTTTAACAGAATCTGTAGAAGGTGGAGACGTGGGGTAAGAGCGTGTCAGACATGGCAATATTTCCTACCAAACCTCCCCCCCCCCCCAATAGAAAGGAGACAGTCGCCGCTTTCTAAAAAGGGGTACCCCCCCTTGGACTCCTCCCACAGGCACCTAGGGAACCGTTTGAAAAAGGGGGAAAAACGGATTTTTCTTAGGCAAACTGAGCAGTTTGATGTGGAATATGACCCAACTAACAGAAACCGTGGGATTTTTTAATAAAAGAAATTATGCCAAATTAGATATGGGGGGATTTTGAATAAAGAATAAAAAGTTAATTAAAAATAGAAAAAAAAACAGTTTTTATAAAAAAAAAATATTCTTTTTAACAAATGTATTTTTGCGTAAAATTCCTTTCTACGTAAGCGGCCTTCGGCCGCACTTAGGGATTATAACCCTCAGGCAGTAGAATTCTCCTTTCTGTTTTGCCAAAGAAGGGGGGCTGAACACCTTTTGCAGAGAACACCTTTCTGCGTAGGCGGCCTTCGGCCGCACTTAGGAATTATAACCCTCAGGCAGTAGAATTCTCCTTTCTGTGTTGCCAAAGAAGGGGGGCTGAACACCTTTTGCAGAGAACACCTTTCTGCGTAGGCGGCCTTCGGCCGCACTTAGGGATTATAACCCTCAGGCAGTAGAATTCTCCTTTCTGTGTTGCCAAAGAAGGGGGGCTGAACCCCTTTTGCAGAGAACACCTTTCTGCGTAGGCGGCCTTCGGCCGCACTTAGGGATTATAACCCTCAGACAGTAGAATTCTCCTTTCTGTGTTGCCAAAGAAGGGGGGCTGAACACCTTTTGCAGAGAACACCTTTCTGCGTAGGCGGCCTTCGGCCGCACTTAGGGATTATAACCCTCAGGCAGTAGAATTCTCCTTTCTGTTTTGCGAAGAAAAGGAGCTGAACACCTTTTGCAGAGAACACCTTTGTATATTTTTAATGCTTACTGGGTTATATCCTATCTTCTTTTGTCTCTCATTCTTTTGCATATTTTGGAGTTTGACAGCTGAACTCCGCCATTTAATTTGCATATGCAACCAAAGTCAGGCGCGTGATTTTGAAGGTGTTTTTATTTAATGAATTGTGATGAATTGGTTAATATTAAAGTCGTAAAGCAAGTTATAACAAATCAAGTAAAGTGTAAAGTGAAGGGGAATACAAAAATATATTGGTGAAGTGGCTAATTTAAGCAGAATAGGAGTGATAAATGTACGCTAATTTCCAAATTTTACAAAAAAGGGCATATTTTAAACCCAATTTGTAAATAAATTAGTAACCAAAATTTACAAAAGTGAGTGTTAAAATATTGCGTGGACCCTTGACCACAAGTTTTTGGATCGGGCCACCCATTTGGACGGAATAGCCCGAAATAGTTGTGAGCGGTACTAAACTCCACCCAATACAATTTACATGCAAGGTGTGTCTGCTCCTGCAACTGCTTTCTGAAAATTCTCAATTTGACAGCTCTTTCGAAATATAGTGCATACGAAATATATTGCCACGTCTGACACGCTCTTTAGTTTGGAAAAGTAGGATCATTTTTAGCAACCCTGTGGGACTGCCTAACTATCAATTGCAACCCTGCCTTGAAACCCACTCATATTTTTCTTTCTACTTTGTGCTGATTGTTGTTTTTTATCTGCGATTTTTCTTGAATGAATTGGCGTCTAGCCGGTAAAACGTGGGTGCATGTGTGAAAGAAATTGTTCTGGAGGCCGTAAAAAATATAAGATATATTTCTGAAAAGGCGTCTAAAGTAAAACATAATCACAATGCCATACCTTTGTATGTTACAAGATGGTAATGAGAGCCTGCCGCGTCTCATGGAGAAAGCACAGCAAAACGGCTACGCAGTTGTAGCGGCTCCCATAAATGCTACTGAAATACCTTTGGAGTTTCAGGAACCGCCAATGTGCGACCGGCAAACGGAGTTCACATACTCTGATCTCATCTTCCCGTCAGATCAATGGAATGGAAAAGTTATAAGCATGTTATCGGATACCATCGATTGCGAGGCCGAGGATCCGGTGGTGCGTCGCAATGCAGAAGAGGTATTGAAACGGGACATTTCGTGGGCAGAACATTTACAATACGGTGGTTATACAATGCTACAACTAAAATCTGAGAGGAATCTCAATATGGCACGCATTGCGTCGTGTACTGTGAAGGGTAAGTGTGCATTGATCTATGTTTATTAGGGTGGTCCTTAAATGTAGGAAGCATATTTTTACATCCGATTTTCTAAGCCTCAACCACTGCTTCGATGCAACTATAGTCGAAGATATCACATATAAATTTTGGTCCTGATTGGGGACGGTAAAGTCGTGTCGCACAAAGAGCAAATTTCAGATTCCTCTATGGAGACTCGGAAAATTTAAATTAGTTTTTTTTCACCTAATACACAATCGATACTACTTTAGTCGAGCATATCATATAAATTTTGGCCCCCCCTGTGATCGTGGTATTACCGATTGAGGGGGCGATACTGAAAAAAATCGTTCATTTGATTTTTTATGGACCACCCTAATGTATACACATTTCGTTAGGATAGTGTGGAAAGGGCCTAACTCACATCGACGCTGAAATATAAGAAGCCATAACTAAAAATCCAAAATTCACTTTTTGATTGATTATGATGCATTTCATCGAACTACAAGTCCTCACATCGTTTTATGCAATACATTTATTTTTTGCGGTTTTTAAATACACCCTTTCCATACTATACTAACGATATGTAGATGGATTCCCTAGCATTAACGGTTTCAGAGTTGCATATTCATATTTATGAATTTGTATAGGATTGCTGCTTGTACAAGTACCGTTATATAATTCAAAAGTGGCACAATCTACCTGGCGACGTGACATTGACGAGGAACAACTGGAACGCATTGAACAGCAAGACACCTGGCATTGGTGGAACAGCTTCCGGTGGGCTGCCGATTTCAATCCAAAAATAAAATTGGCCCTCGAGTTGAGTGAAAGTGATCGGCCATCATTGGAAGTGGTGCGCCGTTGGATAGGTGAGCCAGTGGAGGCAATTATAATACCCTCCACAATGTTTATTTGCAATCGCCAAAACTACCCAGTGCTCCCAAAAACTTGGCAGGAAATTTTGTCGTATTTTACGCGTGCACGCGTAAACATAATAATCTCTTCTGATGTAAATGATGTCAGTCTTAAACTCTATGCAGAGTATATGCTCCGGTTCATGGAAACTCATGGTGATTTTCACGAGCTACAAGCGTAAGTTGAGCTATTCATGTACATATGTATTCATTTGTTATAATTACATACATTTTTTGTATGGCAGTTTTGAAGATGTTCTGGAGGAGCCGCTACAACCCCTATATGACAATCTGGACTGTTATACCTATGAGGTATTCGAAAAAGATCCTGCAAAATATAAGCTATATCAGGAGGCCATTGAGCAAGCTTTGCTGGATCGTGTTCCCGAAAAGGAAAATAAGAATACATTGGTAACAAAATTTTTAATGAAATCAATAGTGACGATTTACCATGTTCCTTTTCCCACAGACCGTAATAATGGTACTGGGGGCCGGTCGTGGCCCACTTGTACGTTCGGCGCTTAATGCCGGAGAAAATACTGGTCGGAAAGTTCGCGTATATATTATTGAAAAGAATCCCAATGCTATACGTACACTGAATGCAATTGCTAAAAAGTTATGGAATAATAAAGGTATACATTTGTTGTCTATCTTAAATCAAAACCTCAACTCTTATGCTCCATAGATGTACACATTTTCTCCAAGGATATGCGAGAATTCTCACCACCTGAACCTGCCGACATTCTAGTTTCCGAGTTATTGGGCTCATTTGGCGATAACGAACTTTCACCAGAGTGCTTGGACTGCGCACAAAAGTTACTAAAACCTGATGGCATAAGTATTCCCTGTAAATCTACCTCTTATATCAACCCGATTATGTCTTCAAAGCTGCTGAATGGCGTGCGGCAAGTGATGCGGCACGAGACATTCGGTCGCCAGAAACAGGCCACGTATCATACACATGCTGAAAGCGGATTTGTTGTGTTACTCAAAAATATTTACAATATTGGTTTGCCACAACCTTTGTTCGAATTTGTTCATCCCAATCCCCAACAGCCAATCGACAACAGCCGCTATAAAGCGTTGAGTTTCGATGTAGAAATGGATTGTGTACTCACCGGTATAGCAGGGTACTTTGACACTGTACTTTATAAGGATATTAAGCTGAGCATTAATCCGCAAACGCACACGCCAGGCATGTTCTCTTGGTTTCCGATGTATTTTCCCTTTGCGGTAATATATTTTGATATACCTGTATGTTTTGAGTATTTTCTTACAAAAAATATGTGTAATAAATTTGCAGGATCCTATGGATGTAAAGAGAGGGCAAACTATTGAAATTCATTTTTGGCGTTGCGTTACAAAGCAGAAAATCTGGTATGAATGGTGTTTGGCTTCGCCGTTCCGCACCCACATACACAATCATGGCGGGCGTTCATGTCCAATATACTGTACGTAAACTGATAAGTTGGTGCGAGTAGTTTCTATATATTACTATTCTAAGCAATATCTAATTAGAATTACATTATTAACACGCTGTGCTACTTGACAAATTTAAAATAATAATTTGTAGTTTTTTATGTTCCAAGACGATTAAAGAATTGTATGTACATAAGCAATGTATATAATATTTCGTATTGTAAAGTCAACGGGTTTAGAGATGACAAGTGTTTGTCAATTTGGGTGTTAATTAAGCAGAATTTCCCATTAATAGCTTAATTATTTACGTTTAAATGGTTGACTATTTATAGTGTCGATATCCACACATTTTTTTATGTTTATGTTTAATTTGTTTAAGCTCTATTTGGTAACTTTTTGTCGAAGGCTTTTTTAGAAGTCTTGCAGTAAATGACAAAAAAAAAATTTATTTGACCTTTATTAGGTCTAACAGCATTTTGCTGGGAAATTATTAAAACTACTTATGTATATTGAAGTGTATTGTCTATGGGCTTTTTAGAAGCCAATTAATATAACTTCTGGCAAATATTAATTATATATACTGTGTATTGAAGCCATGGCATTTTTGCGTAGCTATTAATGGAAGCAAATATATTTAAAACAATTGACTACATACATGCCTTTCGAAATATTATATCCTGCTGATGTAAAAAATAAGACAAATTTGTTCAAGAAAAATTGTAAAACGACACTTTGTTAGTAAGTTTAATACCAATAAATGCCAAGTTAAGAATTTGTCGTCTAACGTAAAAAAAAAGTTTCCGCTGGTTGGTAAACGTTTAGATACGAACATATTGAAAAGACGTTGGACGTGCAGCGTTTTCAAAACAAGTAACGAAATCATTTTGCTGTTTAAAGTGCGACATTCAGCTCTTAATTCTCACATAAGCAGGTCTGTCACAGAATCCACACGTTCTTAGCAATTCCGATACAGCGACCGCATTTTCGTAGATTTCACGAAAAATCTATGATAGCCCCCTGTTCTGTTATCTGTTCTGTATTGGGATTCGAAAGGCGACATGGACAAACAAAATCATTGTCAAGTATTCGAATCCGAATGATTTGCTTTTCGAATCACGATACATAGTAGACTCACTGCTTACATCAATGGCCAAGAACGCACGATCAGTCGATGGCGTTCTGCTGAAAAAATAAGTTTGCTAATTAAAGTTTAAGCGACAGGAAAAAAAATTACGTTGCCAATATAGCAACTCAGTTGTTGTTGTTGTAGCGGCTAACACAACCCCGCCCAGATGGGCTAGTCCCTCAATCGTTGTGGTCAAGCTCAACTAACGGGAGACCTAGGAAGCAAGCAGCTTCGATGGGGTTTGTCCATAGAAGCAGATGCGTTAATTGAGTGGGGTTTAGTGGCACTCGTTGGGAACATCTGCATCTAATATTCCCAGCACGAGTTTAACCTGCTGCAGTAGCCAGAGCGAAGGTGGGGTATTGTGGTCCGAGTCTCCCGAGGCAGTCGAAGCTCCGTTTCGTCCACGTCTGATGGTTGTGTAGGTCTGTACTGACCCCCTGTGAATGCCGTTTATGGCCTGTCGGGTCCGGAGGCTGCTATCTGGACTTCATCCGTCAAGCGACCACACCGGCGCTGCGTAGTTTAGAATTGACCGGCTTTAGAATCGACCGGACCTATTTGCGGCTCTGTACTTTATTGTCAATTCGGTTGTGTGCGCCGAGGAGAGCAGACTATCGAAAGTTACTTCGAGAATTTTCGGAGTATCCACGGTCGGAATTTGTACGCCATCGACGTAAATTCCCAGCTGTAGTCTGTCCTCCTTCGTCCAGGTGGTAAAAAGGGTTGCCGAGGATTTTGTAGAGCAAAGGGTTTAGGCTCCTTGTAGTGAAGAAGCGAAGAAAGTTCGGAGAGGAAAGTAAAAAATTAAATAGCAGCGAGGAAAGGGCACCACCCTGTGGAGCCCCCTGTTTAATTCTCGCTTTGCTGGTTTTGTCTCTAAAATGACTGACGAATGTCGGACGGCTTAGATAATTCGCCGACCACCGTTTGAGTCCTCGTGGGAGAGAGAAAGCCTCAAGTCTCTATTAGCGTGGAGTGACTGGCGGTGTCACACGCCTTTGACAGATCCAACGCTGCTAGGACTGACCTCACAGGGGCGGTTTCGGTTTAGGCCGCGTGTTATCTGAGTGTTTATGGCGTTAAGTGCTGTTATTGTGCTGTCCAATTTTTGATGAAAGGGGCTAATAGGGGAAATTTCCGAGTCGGTCGAGAAATCGATGTTAAGAATTTCAATTACACTCTTGGTATTGTGATTATACTTCCGGAAAAAAGAGGCCTAAGTGTACAGTGTTATGGGGCGCACTCATGGGCGTAGCCAGGTAGGGGAGGGGGGTACTCGAGCCCCCCCTAACTTTCCTTATATATATATATAAAATAGTACCCTGAAATGCCAGCTTAATAGGGTCGAGCCGCCCCCCCAAAATTTCATTCTGGCTACGCCGATGGGTGCACTCTACAATTTGAGTTATGAAGAATTTTTTAGACCGAAGTTTAGTAAAACTTCAAACTTGCACTGTATTATACTCAAATTTAATGGGCTACAAAACTGCATACTCAAAAAAATTCTAAACAAAATTTAAAAAATTTGTAAATTTGTAATTTACTCATTTTACTCAGCTTCGGTGTAAAAAAAAATCATAACTCAAATTATTGTAGAGTGCACCCCGAAATACTATACTTAAATATTGCGCAATACTCAGAGCTACCATTGTGATTTTTTGTGTGTGTATGTATGATTTTATCGATAAAAACTTTTTAATTGCGTACGCATGTTCACTTTGAGCAAATTTTGAGCGCTGGTTGGGAAAATCTTCGGTAGATTGGTCAAATCGCCAAAATTAGGGCCCAATTGGGAGAAACTTGTGGCTCTAATCGGGCAACCTCAAACACTTTCCAGCAAGGAAACTTTATCATAATGGGCAACAATTTTTGTGCCCTCAACTGGCACGAAAATCTGCTAGCATCATATAAGTGCATTTTCAGAAAAAACATCATAGCTCGAAAACGACGAATTTTAGCATATTGCTACTCATACTGAAAATAGTTTATACTCTTCCCTAATAGACAAAAAAGTTTGAGAGAAAAAAATATGGCCATTTAAAAAAAAATCAATTAAAACAATTTTTTATAAACAGTAATTAGTTATTAATAAACAATTACTGATGTTTAGTTCACTAGATCGATAGTAGATGATTATCTGCAATTTAAAAAAAAACAAAAAAAAAATCGTTAAAATCCAAAAAAAGTTGCTATTAAGAGAGGGAAAAAGAAACGTTCGTACTCAAAAAGAAAAAAATTCATTATTCGAAAAATTCGAATTTCTGAGCAAAAAGAAAAAATACGTGTCTCCTTAAATTGTTCAGGGAACAATCGCTGATCGCAAACTTAAATTCAGTTTTCCTCGGCCTGGGTGATTTGAGATGGAAAGACCCCTAATATAAATTTAATGTTAAATAATATAAATTTTTGCATTCGCGTAAATTGTAAATGGATAAGCCCTTCTAGAAGGCATGCAAGGAAGCACTTTTTTCAGCCCTTTATGGGTAGGCCTCTTAGAATGGCTTGTGCACAAGTGCGATCCAGTATAAAAAGTTGAGAGCATTTAAGTCTCGCTGTCATCCCGTTTCTGTCCGGATGTGTGACAAGTGCGAAGTTTTGTCCACTGCTTCCTACTTGTCCCTGATCTCAAAAACAGGCCTAGCGTGGTGCCGGCAAGCGATTTTAGGATCTGCTCTCTACTTTAATGACCATTGCGGTTATGTGCGCGGAGAAGGGTGATTTGGTTAAACAAAAGGCCAGAAAGACTCATTTAATTTTAGAGTTCATGAATGCCATTGCGGGATGCCAATATTGGGCAGCCGTCAGCTCATAACTCTTCTTGGTGGCTGAAAAAGCTTCCGAGATGTTAATCATTAGTGAGATGGCTTCCTGTTTTGATCTCAAAAGAGTACTGAGGACTTTTGACCACTCAGATGCCTCGCCGTTTAGCGTGTTTGTCCCTATTGGTATCTTCGCTACTGAAAAAAGGAACGCAATCGGTACCAAGACTTCTCTTTGTTTACTGGTTTCTCGTGATACATTGACGGAACGACTGTCCCTGACTACCACATGGCCAGATATGATGTCCTGGGCGTCCTACGACCCACCTAAGCTCTCAGGAATGAGCAAAGAACTACCTGACCTGTTGGGGTCCTTCTGAAAGGATTGCCTTTCCCTTCAAAAGGTTCTGTCCCAGTTGAAATGACCCGGGCTCAAAGAAGACTTTCGAACACTTCCTGTGCGAGTATCCATCCCTCGGAAGGATGAGGCTAAATACACTCGGTGGTAGTTTGCATGAGTTGTAGAATCAAAATGTCAAACCTGCTAATTGATAGTCATCAGGGTGACAAACCACTTAAACCAACCTTCTCTTCTAACCATCAGATTCACCGCTAATGAAAGTAGCGATCAGAAAAACGGAAAAATCGCATATGCGGAAAATGCTCTACGGATCATTTTGAGCAACTTTGCTTAAGAAACTATGGGTGTAAAACCAATTTCGAGCCAGCGAATTTTAAGGAGAAGTTTCATATCAGGTAATACAAAATTTTGTGTAAGGGTACATAAAGTTTATTTTTTTAATACATAAATGATAAGAATTGAAAAAGAAATCGATTCAGCGGTGACTGCCTGTCCGTCCGTCTGTGCACGCGATAACTTGATTATAAATTTAGATATTTTAACGCAATTTGGTATGTGTCCTTTTTAGCGTAGGACGGATGGTATAGAAAAAAGGCAAAATCGGACAATAACCACGCCTACCTTCCATATAACGGTAGTTTTCAGAAATACGTAAACTGCGATATTTTAGTAACTACTCATTCTTATTAACTCAAAATTAATTATTAAATGATTTATAAACGACAAATAATAATATTATAAATTTTTGGAAAATAGGCGTAGCCAGGTCTACTTATGATTACATGTGTATATCTTGGTAACCGCTTCACCAATTTCTCCCAAACTTGACACAGTTGTTGACCTTGGTACAACATACCAAACGACTGAAAATTTTTAAAATCAGTTCATATCCACGCCCACATCCCGTATAACAGTTATTTAGAAAAATACGAAATCTTCGATAAATCAATAAATACTGTAGCTAGTTTACCAAAAATTAATGTTTGCAATAACTCTTTAGCAAAAAATACATTTATGATAAAATTTTGGAAAATGGGCCTGGCACCGCCCACTCATGACCACATCTGAATCTCGGTAACCGTTCGATCAATTTGTACCAAACTCGGTATGATTATTTTGCTTGCCACATAAAAGCAAAACATTGAAAATTATTGAATCGAACTAAAATTACGCCTTGCATGGTTTCAGCAAAAAAAAAAATGCTGCTATAGCAGCTTCGCCTTGAAATTTGGGCGGTTTTCAGCGAGCCTATAGACTATGTAGTCGGGCTATTGTTGAATCCATTGTAGTACGATTGTCGTGACAGTGCCCACTTTAGAAGGCTTTAAAAATTGAATGTGTTTTGACCTTGCATACTACATTGACACACTGAAAATTCGCTTATGCTAATGAAAACAAGAATAAATTTCGTACATATATTTTTTTATTATTTTTTATATCTTTTCATATATGTATTGTATATGCACGTATGTACATACATACATATGTACATATATAACTACTGACTTTTTCGTTTTTTATTGTATGATTTCTCATTTTCATAGTACTACAATCTTTGAATCCTCTTGACGCAGAGTTAAATTTCCGCGCATGCGTGTGTGTGTGTTTGTATGAATTGTGTTTATAAGCAAATTATTTTTATACTTATTTTAGTCAAACTTTTTGAATGAATTCATTTGGAGAAACTCGTAGTAAATTTAACTTTTTTCATCATTACAATTATTATATAGCAAAAAAACATTGTGCAAAACACTTCGCAGCTAAAGTGACGCAGCAACGGGTGTTCCAAATACTGTGCCATACAATCTCTTTCCTGTTCGCAAATTTTCTTATTTCACTAAATATTCAATGGCATAGTACAACGTGGCGCTGAGTAAATTTATTTGAAAGCACATTGCATCTTAACGCTGCTGGCATAATTTGGTATAAGTATAATTTGCATAAATATCCACTTTGTTTGTTGAAACTACTTTAAATTTTTATTTATTTTTATTTTATTTTTCATTTAAATGTATGATCAATATTATAATTTCCCTTACTGAACTTACGAATATAATAAAGTGCAGAATTGGCGAATTTAAAGCAGAGCGTGAGCACCGTTTTATTTAATGCGGTCGCTACTTTTACTATATTTACTTTTATAGTTACACCTTTTTTTGTGAAAAATGTCGATAGTTTTGCCCAACATACTTTCATTCCTTTTTTATGATTTTGCGGTTATATAAAAAAATTCTGCAGATTCATACTTTTGAAAAACTTTAATGACTTCATATTTTTTCAGTATTGTGTCATTAGGTTCACAATAAAAATATTGTTTCAATATTTCCACTTACTGCATTTAAATTTTTTTCTCTTTCACAAATGGTACAAAACCTGAAGACTTTAAATTTGCAATTCACCGTATTAAAAAAATAAAATAAGCATAGTTGTCCAGTAAGAAAAACATGGTGAATGCTTGAATGAAAAAAGCTTAGTTTACAATATAAGTACGTGTGTAAGTTTAACGACACCCATTATTAATGAGACATTCAGGTAGGTTCTGCAACTCACTTCCGAGTGAGTTTCAACTCCTGCCAATTTTAATTTAAAACGAACTTAGCTCGAATTCACACGAAACTGAATTACAGAACTTGCCTGATTGTATTTTAAAAAGCGTTTCAATAATAGCTAGTTGTAATTAGTTGCTATTAAAATGAATATATTTATTACTTTTAGAAGTCAAGGCAATCATGTATGAATGGATGTATTTCGAGTTTACATGTAAAGCTGAGAAACTGCGCCTACAAAAACAATTTTTCAGCAGCTGAGAGTTTAGACTTTCCAAACACCGTAAATTTTTGAATGAATAATTAAAAAAATATTCTATGTATGTATTTAAGTATATTGCTATGCAACCAAAGATACCTCTTAAAGTCTTATTAGAATATAAAATCGTTACAATTGAACTGAGTTTTCACGAACACACAACGCCAGCCCTTTTAGTTGCTATTAAAAGTGGATAAAAATATGTTTAGAAGTAACTTAGTACATATGTATTTACATGTGTATTAGTAAATGAATGGCCGAAGAGTAACTTCAAATCAATTACAAGTAAATATTGGAAATTGAAAGTTCACTGTATTTGAGCACGGTTTCAAAAGGCACAAATTCTTAGTACATGCAGCACTGCATTCATTAGCAAAATACATTTCCATGGAATTTCGCGCCAGGCAAAATTATGCTTTTGCTGTCCAAATATGACATTCTTTCTCAAGGATAAAAAAAACACAAAAATAGAAATAAAGTGAAGACTAATGCTAAAAACCCTCAAAAACAAAGTAAGATTAAAACATTAGCAAGAAACAGAAATAAAAGAAATAAAGAAAACAAGATAATGCAGAACGTAAGAACTATATGACCACATCCCAAACCAGAGTTCAAAAGCTTGGTTACCAAATTCTCTATGCCCAAAATATAACAAATAAAAAATCATAGAAAACATTGAAAACATACCTTCTTTTCGGGTAGCAACCAAAAGTGACTTTCGCACATTCTTTTCATTTTTCACAAGTATGTTGTATTTTATATAGCTTGTTTTTAGTTTTTTTTTGGTTTTTTTTTTCATTTAAATTTTCTTCATATTCTGTATGGTTTAAAATTATATTTTATATCATTAGTTTTCTTGTATTACAATTCATTATTATGGTTTTCATGTAAAATAAATAATTATTTTGTTTTCTCTAAATAGAAATGTTTAATCATTTTTATATGCTTCTACATTCCTATAATTGTTGCTAAGCATTTGGCTCGCTTCAATGCATTTCAACTTTTCTAATCCCTTCTCTTTTCCAAATCCGCCACGGCACGCATGCTACTCCGCCGCAAATTCTTAAAAACTTATCCCTCCCTTCCACCTCTCAAACATCTTCTATCCTCTCGCACTTTATTTCTGGCTTGCATCATTCATTGGAAAATTGCAAATGGTTTTACTTTAAAATGTAGTAGTATTTGCAAATACATTAATCGCTTTATGAGTTAACAGCACTTGCCTGCGGCAATTGGCCGCCAATTGCATTGCCGCCGCCACCGCGAATGGCAATGTTGCCCTGTCCGGCGCGTATGGGCTTGGCGATTTGTGCCTGGGGACCACGGCGTCCGAGATGCTTTTGCCGCACCGCTTCCTTGATGCGATCCACTTCGTATTGGTAACGTTTGCGGTCGCGCATCGCACCTTCTTTCGCCTCCTTCAACGCCGATTCTAACGCCTTGACACGCTCCATGGTGGTGCGCAGACGCTTCTCCAGTTTTGGCAGTTCACAGCGCAAATCAGCATTGTCACGCACCAATTGCTTATGCACCTTTGTCAACTGGTCGAGATTGTTTTCGAGGAAGGAGATTTTCTGTTTTTGTGCCAAAGAGCAGCCATCCTCTTCGTTGTCTTCGTTGATCACGGTCTTCTTGATGCGCGCCTGCAGCGAAATGAGAAAATGAGTAGTTACACTTTGTATGAATTTGGGTGATTT